GAGTCTGTTGCCTCCATAGGTGTGTGCCGTCACTTCTCCATCATTCATGTATTTGGCAAACATTTATTGAGTGCCTAATGTATGCCAGGCATAACTCTAGGTACTGATGGGAATCCCTGTCCTCCCAGGGTGGCCATGCTGGAGCACCACTGTCCATTGTAGTTTCTGTGTTCCTATGCGCTCACGTGTGGCTGCGGGTGCTCCACAAGCGACTGCTATAAGGGATTTGTTGTTGTTGTTGTTTAAGTCAACTTAAATGTATATTTAAATGCTGTAGGGAAGCCTTTAATCCTAGCACTTGGAGGCACAAGGTCAGCCTGAGCTCATGGTAAGACTCTGTCTCTGTAAGTAATATGGTCTTCTGTAAACACACATTAAAATGAAGCTCTGTGTGGCCAGTGGCTTCCTGTCAGCCCAGCTCCTGGAATCCAAGGGACCTGCCATTGGTGTCCTTCCAAGATGTGTAAATACACGTACCCAGGACCCAGGAGCTGGAGAGATGGCTCAGCAATTAAGAACTCTAGCTTCTCTTACAGGGGACCCAAGTTTGATCTCTACCACCCATATTGAACAGCTCACAACTGCCTGTAACTCCAGCTCCTGGAGATCCAGTGCCATCTTCTGGCCTCCACAGGCAACTACACTCACATGCATATACACATACACATGATTAAAAGTAAAATAAATCTTAAATAAACACATGTACTGTTGTCTGGCCTGAGAATTGTCTCTTCTCACGTCAGTTAGAAACCTGGCATGGGGGTGGCTGCCCTACCCTGTGGCCTATTGGTGCTGCTCTGGATAGCAGTGACCACCTTCTCAGAAGCCCTTGGCCTTCAAGGATGCCACTGTCCTCCACGCAGACTTCTGTTCGGTGATCTTCCTGCAGCATCCTCCCGAGTGCTGTGATTGGCAGCCCTCACCACACCTGCTCCCTACTTCCTGTTACTCCTCCAGGTGTCCCTTTCCCACCGCACCCATCTGCTGGGGACACTCCGTAGCCTGTCACTCTGCCCTGTCACTCTGTGACACTCACCCACCAAATATTTAGGGAGCATAAGGTACTGCAGCCTCTGCCAGAGAAAAGGTGACTGTCCTCTCAGAGCTGGCACTGAGGAGGTGACGGACAAGAGACCCCCGGGGGCCACAATGGTCCTGATGTCTGAGCGGGAAGATGCGGGGGGGAGCCCTCAGTGGGGGCAGCAAGGACCAAGGCAAGCAAGCTCCCGTGGCTATGGTAGATTTTCTTGCAAGTTTCGTGGAAGCTACTGGAAATTTTTGTTTGTTTGGTTAGTTGGTTTTGGTTTTTTGGCTTTTTTTGTTTTGTCTTGTTTGTTTGTTTGTTTGTTTTTAAGGCAGGATCTCACTCTGTAGACCAGCCTGGCCTGGAACTTAAAGAGATTCACCTGCCTCTGCCTCCCGAGTGTTGGGATTAAAGGTGTGGTCATGGTGCCTGGCACTACCGGAAGGCTTTTAGCTCAGGCATCTCCGACTCGGCATGCCCACCCTCAGTCCTGATCTCCCGTGAACCTCCTCCTTCCTAGCTCTGTCGGCACCAGCTCTTTGTCCCACACCAAACCTTGGCGTCACCTCAGTCCCTTCCTTCCCCACACAACATTTACTTCCTCCTTGGATGCTGGGGGTGGGTGGGTGAGGGGTCACACCACTCCTCCCCTCCACCAGCCTCTCCCCCCAGCTGATCACTGTGGCCTCTATAGTGCTCCCTGAAAGCCTGGTAGCTAAGTTTCTGTTGAACAAACAGATGGGTGCCTTTTCTTCTCCACCGTGACCCCTTCCCCACCCAGATAGTCCCTTGAGGGTCAAGTTCTGCGAGGTGGGGCCCTGAAGCTGTCTCCACCTGTGGGTCTGAGTTCGAGTTCCTTCTTGGTGTGACTCAGATCTTTGGACACTGATTTCTGGGAGTCTTGGCATCCTCCTCTGTAAAATGGGACGTGAGCAGCTGACGGCCTCAGATGCAGGCCGGATGCAGCGCACCCAGGCAGGCTCCCTGATGCACAGCGTTAATGGCAGCTATATATAACCCAAGGCCTCCTTTGTACTCCCACCGCCTCTGCCCTACTTCCAGTCCTCATTATGCCGGCCGGCCGGTCTCACAGCTCCTTCCTCGCTCAGGCTTCATCACCGCCAAGCTGTCCTCTCAGGTGTCAGGCTTGTCTCCCCTTGCCAACCCTAATCATGTCCCCCTCTGCTCCACAACCTTCCGACTGTCCCCACAGACCCCAGGACGAAGCCTGCTGGTTTCTCCCCATTCCTACCATCTTTCTGGGCACGTGGGCAAGGGGAGAGGAGCTCCAACATCTTGGGAGCAACTGAAGTGGCGCTGGCCACGAGAGAAGTCAGTGTTTCTGCCGTTCTGAGGCCTGGGCCAGCCAAGGCCAAGGTCTCACAGTGAGCACATTCGGGGTGGCACTGAGCCTAGGTCTGAGAGTTTATGACTGTGCCCTGGATTTGAGCTCCTCGGCTCTGTGCTCTCCCGTTGGGGTCTTCAAATCCCTCTTTCCTGCCTTCTGCATCAGGAGCCAGAAAGGGACTTGAACCTGTGTCCTGACCTTGGGTCAGAGTCATACCCAGCACCAGCCCTACTCATACCCGGCTCCAACACTAGACCCCCAGGCTGAGGCCTTGCCCTGCTGTGCCCGGCTCTCATACCCAGTCCCCCGCCCCCAGGCTGAGGCCTTGCTCCATCTTACTATTTGTTTGTTTGTTTGGTCCAAGGGTAGCCTTGGACTTTGTGTCTTTGAAGACTAAAGAAGTTTGGGGGGGCTGGAGCAGAATCAGCAAGAAGACGGGGAGTGGGTGAGGGTGGGGGATGGGCCAGTGTTTCAGGGCTTTGGGGATCACGAGGAGGGCTTCAGCCTTTGCTGAGGAAGGTGGGAGCAGACAAGGGACATGATGGGGTTCTAAGGCAGTACAGTCCCAACTGCTACAGTGGCTTGTGCTTGTGGTCTCAGCACCTGGGCGACTGAAGCAGAAAGATCACGGGTTTAGAGCCAGCTCGGGGTACAGAGTGGGAATCTGTCTCAAAGAGCCAAGAGCTGGAGGTGGGTCTCAGTGGCAGGGCACTTGCTCAGCACAGCGGAGGCCCTGGCTCTGTCCCCAGCACTACAAATGATAAAAAGTAATAATAATTGTGAGCCGGGCATTGTAGCTCAGAGGGCTTGTCTCTGGGAATGGTGGTTCACACCAGTTATCCCAGCACTCAGGAAGTCGAGGCAGGAGAATTGCCCCCACTTCCAGAACCAACATGGGCTACAAAGTAAGAATTTGTCTGAAAACAAAATCTGTGTGTAGTGGTGCATGCCCTTAACCTCAGTGTGTCTAATGAAGCAGCAGGGAAGAGATCGTGTCTCAAACAAGGGCAGAGGCAAGGATCTGTGTCTGAAGTTGTCCACTGACCTCCACAAGTGGCCTGTGGCACGTGTGTGCCCATACACACAATCCACAGGAGGGCTTGTGCAGGTTTGACGTAAACACCACAGCATTTCACAGATGGAATGTGGATCCTGGGTTTCAGCATGGGGCTGAGTGGACCTGGAAGCATCCGCTGTGGATGACAGAGAACCATCGAACTTTGCATAGAGGAAGATAATTATATTGTGGGATTAATGTCACCTGTTTGTTTTTATTTGTTTAATATGGAAAAGGTAAAATTCCCTCTGCAGCTCTAAATTCCTCCTGGGCAGTGCTGGTCTGTCCTCTCCTCCCTCCACTTGGGATGAAAGTCAGGGTCATGCGGATGTTAGACAAACGCTCTGCCCCTGAGCCACACCCCTGCCCCTCACTGGGGATCCTAGGCAGGTCTCTGCCCCTGAGCCAGGCCCCAGCCCAACCTGGATAAGAACACTGAGCTGGTCCCCTCCCCAGTGGTAAAGAGCAGCCCCCTGTACTGATGTAAATGCCGCCGCTTCCCCTCTGACGCTATCCCCAGTGCGCCTTTCTCGCCGCGTTTCTCTCCTCAGTACACAGCACTCTGACATTTGATGTGTTTACTGGGTTCTCTCAGCTTCCTCCACACACACAGAGACCCATGACTCTGTTGCACACACTGAGCAACAGCTTCTGTCTGCACAGAAAGAGGAAAGTGAGGCTCAGAAATAGAATGGTGCCTGTCAGAGGAAATCTGAAGAAGTCCAGAACTGCACAGTCATAATCCCAACAGTCAGGAGTCTGTGACGTCAGAAGAGCACAGCCCAGGCCAGCCTGAGCTAATTGATCACACACTGTCTTCAAAAAAGTGTGTGTGTGTGTGTGTGTGTGTGTGTGTGTGTGTGTGTGTGTGAGAGAGAGAGAGAGAGAGGGGGGGGGTGGCATGTCGGCTCGAGATTGCAATTCCATACCTGGAAGGCAGACGGTAGGATTCCTGTCAGTTCAGGGACAGCCTGGGCTACATAATAAGCATGCTACATTTTGACACTCTGTCTTAAATATATGTATATTTGCTGTGTGTGGTGGCACACGCACGCCTTTGCTCCTGGCACTTGGGAGGCAGAAGCAGGAGGATCTCTGTGAGTGTGAGGCCAGCCTGGTCTATACCGTTAGTTCCAAGCCTACCAAGGCTATACAGTGTGACACTGTCTCAAAAATCGTGTGTGTGTGTGTGTGTGTGTGTGTGTGTGTGTGTGCGCGCGCACGCGCGCGCGCACAGACATGTGTTTATCATATATAAAACAAGCATGTTGTGGAGAAAGAGAAAAGAGAACAGGGTGTCACATGCTCTCCTGTGTGCTCCAGCCTAGCTGGCCCATGAGCATCTCGGGAGTAGAGGTTTGCACCCTCCCCACGGGTACACATCTACCTCACACACAGAAGAAAATGGGTCCCAGTCACCTCTCACTCCGTAAGACAAGAACCATTACTGTCACATGGCAGGCGATGGAACTGACCTGATGGTGTCCGGTCACCAGTGGGAAGCTGCTGGTGCCATGCGCCTGCCCATCCACCTGCCCTGCCCCACGTCTCACTGTCGCTTTCTCCTGCAGCATCTTGGCCACTGTCGGGACGGAGTTTGACCTACGGACACTGAGGGCGGTGCGTGTGCTGCGGCCACTCAAGCTGGTGTCTGGAATCCCAAGTGCGTGAGTCTCCATCCTTCTAGAAGGCTCTGCTTGGGGCCCCGCTCCCATCAGGGCAGGACGCCCCTCGGGTTTCCCAGGAATCAGGTCTAGGTGGTCTCTGGGAGCAAACCAGAGGCCTCACCCCTTTATTGAGCGCTTGCAGTCTACGGGAGTCATGTTCTGCACACAGTTCCCTCAGCACCCACAACCTGTTGTATAAAGGATGCCGATGCCTCAGTTTTACAGGGAGGCACATAGGCTCAGGTGTCTGAATAGTTGGATTAGGGTCACATGACAAAGAAGGGCTGAGTTAGAGTTAGCAAGTGGAACTCCGTGCCTGGGTGGTGAGCCTGTGGTGGCGACTCTTGGCACTTACTGCCTGTGAGCAGAGCACTGCAGGAAGAGCCTCTGTGCTCTCATTTCTCCGCTGTGCTTAGTTGGTGGATACCCATTGCACAGGTGAGAAGGGCAAGGCGCAGAGGAGTCCTTGACAGGTGGGTGGAATGAGCACAGGGTCTGTGCACATTCTCCTGCTCTCTTGTTCTTCAGGGATGCCTGGGCTTCACACACCACGGAGAGGGCTCAGGATTCAGCCCCAAGCCGGACGCCGGCAGAGGGCTGTTTCTACCCCACAGTCTCCCCGGATCGAAAGCAGAAAACAGTTACTCTGGGCGGCCGGGAGGTGGTTCAGATGGCAGAATGCTCACCACGCAAGCGCGAGGACCTGAGTTTGGTCACAGAGCACTCTTGTGGGGAAGCCGGGTGTGGGGTGCATGTCCGTCATTCTGGCTCTGGGACTGTGGAGGCACAGGCTCCCGGAGCGCATGGCCAGTGGGTCTGGCTGAATGGACGGGTGCCAGGCTTAGTGAGATTGGAGGCAGAGACTGGCGCTGGCCCCTAACCTCCACATACGTGCATGCGCACGCACACACAGATGATTAAACAGGTAAGGACTCCACTGTCCCTGGGAATTCTACTTGTCCAGTTTTTTGAACTCTTCGTCTCCAGAGCAGCCGCGGCGTTAGGCTCTGTGATCGTCACTGTGTTCAGTGTGTCGGCCTCACTGATCAGAGCCACTCCCACCCAGAGGTTTCTCTGGTGGGGCTGGTGTCTCTCAGTAGTAGAGTACTTGCCTAGCCATCGTGGTTTCTGGCTTCTCCCTCAGCACCATGAGAAAACTTAAAATGAAAACACGAAGAGAGATTTCTCAGCAGACCACCAGCGCGTTCCTTTTACAGGAAAAGGGGCCCATGGCCAGCTCTGCGTGCCCGCCGGCTCCTGTGTCCCATTAGGTTAAGAGCAGGGGACTTAGCTAGTACTAACAGGAGGCCCGGTGAGTAGGGTGACCGGGTATTTGCTGGTGTTAGCTTTCTGTTACTGCCACAAAACGCCCGAGATGAAGGGAGGGAACAGAAGTAAAGGCACCTGCTGGCCTGAGCGCCGTTCCTGGGACCCACATGGGGGAAGGAGAGCCGCCATTCCCACAAGTCATCCTGTGACCGGAACGTGTTCGCTGTGGCACGTGTGCTCACGTAGGTAGGTAGATAGGTAGATAGATAGATGGATGGATGGATGGATGGATGGATGGATGGATATGAAAAGGGAGGGCTGGAGAGATGGCTCAGTGGTTAAGAGCACTGCCTGCTCTTCAAGAGGACCTGGGTTCAGTTCCCACATGACTAACGCAAAAACCCTCTCCTGTTCTCCACAGACACCGCCCCGATACACTCAAACACACGCATGCAAAATACCCATATACATAAATAAAAGCAAAGGAAAAAACTGAAAAACAAAGAGGAACAGTTTGGTTTTGCTCCGTTTGGGAGGTTCAAATCCTTAGTCATGCCCCATTGCTTTGGGCCCATGGCCCCGGCAGCACATCTTGGTGAGAACTCATAGGCAGTGGCTTACCACATGGTCGCCAGAACGCAGAAAATCAAAAGCCTTAGACACAGTGACAGCATCCTCCCATGAAGCCCCACCCCTTAAAGCTCTACACCCCACTTACTCCACAGGCTGGGAACCAGGACGTTAGCTGGTGGCCTTTGGGTGGACTTATCCAAACCATCGCACTAGCCCTGGGCTCTCTGAGAGTCTGCGGTAGTCAGCCCTCTGTAACTAGAACGGAACACCCACAATAATCAACTTAGAGAAAGAAAGGTTTGCTCACCTCAGGACTGGTTTCAGCCAGTGCTCTATCTGCCCTGTTACGTTAGGCCTGTGGTGAGGCCACACCTCAAGTTGGGAGCACAAGGCAGAGCAAATCCGCTCACCTTGTGAGTTGGGGCAGCTGCTCTTGCAGAGGCCTTGAGTTCAGTTCCCGGTACCCATGTCTGGCCGCTCCCAACCTCCTGTAACTCCAGCTCGAGGCGCCCTCTTCTGGCCTGCGATGGCACTGCACTCTCCTGAACAAATTCATACACAAATGCAAACAGGTAAACATAAGAAGAAATCTTTAGGGGCTGGAGAGACGGCTCAGCAGTTAAGAGCACTGGCTGCCCTTCCAGACGGTGGTCCTTCAGTTTCCAGCACCCACATAGAGGCTCACAGTTGTTTTTAACTCCATTCTCAGAGTATTCAGTGCCTTCTCCTGCCTCTGTGGGCACCAGGCACACAGATGGGGCACCAACAGGCTTACAAACCAAACACTTAGACACATAAAATAACAACAAATCATTTAAAAATTTAGAAAATAAAAGCACATACCTATGAAGAACACAAGGAAAGGGCCCTCACTCAGTCTGCCCTGTGCAGGCTATCCTGGTCTACAAAGCAAGCTCCAGGACAGCCAAGGCTACAGAGAGAAACCCTGTCTCAAAACAAACCAACAGTTATCTCAAGATTATTGATACAGGAAGCTATGTATAGACTATTCAGATGGCATCCACTTTATAGAGCAGACTTGGTCCATGGGAGCCTCCTGGCTACGGGAGGTCTGTACAGCACAGAGACTGGGATCAGAATTTGACCTGCTTCACAAGAAGTTACAAGTCTCATTCGGCTTCCTTCCAGAAAGGGAAAAGGGAAGAAATTGTTCTAACATTCCTTGAGCTTTAGAATTGTAGTGGGCTGGGTGGCTCAATGGGTAACGCACTTCTCCGACCAGCCTGATGACCTGACTTCAATCCCCCAGACCCACAGAAAAGTCCAGAACTGACTCAGCAAAGATGTCCTCTGACCTCCACAAATGATTACAATAAGTAATTAAATTTTTAAAAGGTTTAAAATCATGGGACTTTTCACATAGAATGAAAATGTAAACATTTTCAATTTAACCCTTTCTTGTCTCTCAAAAAATACCTAAAGCCACGTCCAGTGAGGGGAAGACACTGATGTGACTTTGTGAGGACAAGGGCTTGCCCGGGCCTGATGTGATACTCTCCACATCCAAATCTCCCATTCCAGTGACATCTCGCTGGCCACGCCCCCGGGAGCCACCTGCCCTGTTTCAATGTCTTCCTTCTCTGTGGAGTTACTCAGAACAGAGAGGCCAGTGTCGGGCAGACTCGGGTGAACCCTGACTTTGCTGTCCCTTGAGCCCACAGAGAAATCAGACCCCCTCAGCCTCCACTCCGAGTCTGTAAAATGGAGGTGATTTTTAGCGTGCAGCTGCCTCCACGGGTCATGGCTGCAAGCTGAGGAGATAAGAGGGAATCTGGTCCTCGGAGCTGGGAGTTGAGGTGCTGGCTGCAGGCCCTGCAGGGCTGCTGGTAACGGAAGGGAGCCTGGAAAGGGAAAGGTGACCCCTCTTGACTTGGGGCAGTTTAGGGAAACAGCACCCCCTTGTGGAGGAAAGCTACCGAGCGTCTCAGAAAATGGCTTAGAAAGCCCTGGCTGACTGCCCTTGGGTCCTAAAACCCCTCAAAGAGCATAGCCTAGATCACACACACTGAAGCCTTTCTGTGGGGAGGGGAAGTGGCCGCCTTCCTCTTCATCATCCCCACACCTTCCTCTTCATCATCCCCACTCTGGGATCCATGGGAGGCACTTGGCGGGGTGCTTGCTCACTGGCCGGTCTCTGTCTCCCCAGGTTTACAAGTCGTCCTGAAGTCAATCATGAAGGCGATGATTCCTCTGCTGCAGATCGGCCTACTCCTGTTTTTTGCAATCCTTATTTTTGCAATCATAGGGTTAGAATTTTATATGGGAAAATTTCATACCACCTGCTTTGAAGAGGGGACAGGTAGGTCCATACTATGGGATATGAGGTCTTTCTCAGGGGACAAAGCTCCAGAAAAGATAGGCAGAGGCACTGGTTCCCCCCCGCCCCCAGCCCTGGAAGCTGGGACTCCACAGCAATGGGCTGTTTACAGTCCACCAGAGAGAAGGCTGTGTGCCTGGCTGGGGGCCCAGGTCTTGTCAAACATGCATGGGGCCCTGGATACATCCCCAGCATGGCTAAACTGCCTGCAGGAAAGACAGAGGCCACAGTCGCTTCTGATACCTCGAGATCGTGGCTACAGTATTGTGTTTGGGGGCCCTAGAAGGCAGCCCAGAGGACAAGTGGTTTGCTTGGATGTGATCCCTGAGGCACCCCTGGGAGACATGGAGAGATGGGCTGGGGGTGTGCTCTTGAGCGGGTTTTCCTGTGAGCACAGAGCAATGCTGTGGTGTCTGGACAGCAGAGAGTATACCCCACCAAGGAGATGGCGGCAAGGCTGGATAACAGAATATGAACGAGGGAGGGTCCTGCCCTGCTCCTTCAGAACCCAGCACCTGACAGGTGGTGTCCCAGGCAATGGGAAACCTGCCTCTGACAGGATCCTGTTTCATCCAGTCAGAACCCAGCACCCAGCAGGTGCTGCCTGCCTACCCAATGCCCCATCATGCTTTAGCTAACTCCTAGGAGGCTGAGTCCAGAGGGAGCTGTGATTTGGGTCCCACAGAGGTCAGCATGGAGGTGTACCTGGGGGTCCCACAGAAGTCAGCATGGAGGTGTACCTGGGGCTCGGGTCCAACCAGCAATGTGGAAGACACATGCTGAATTCACATTTGGAGGTGCAGGCCCTTCCAGATGCATTTCCAGTTCATTCCTAGACTCCCCAAACTCGAGCTGCCTAATGCCCCAGAACCAAGAAAACTCAAACAAGAGGGGGTACCTGTGTTTCGTACTTGGACCACCTACTCCAGAGCAGGTAGTCTGGGTTTCCATAGCCAGAGGAAGAATGAGCCCCTGGGCAGAGAGGTGTGGGGCCTTGTTGGGAAAGGGAGCCAGGGAAAAGCAGAATTGTGCAGAAGTGACCTGGTACCAAGCGCACCACTAACCCCAAGCAGATCCACAGAGGATGGTGTCCTGGTCAGGTCCCAGCTGGGAACGTTGTTCTGGAAGGCCGAGGTGTCATTTCTTCTTTCTCCTGCTTCTTCTCTCCTGGGCTTGTGAAGTTTGCTCAATACGGAATGGCCTAATTATTTCTTTCTCCAATGAAGAAGGTGTTAATTGAAGCAGATTTATTTCTGCACCTGGCCTCACCCGGGCGGAAGACAGAGAGTGTGTCTATCAGCCCCAAACAGAAGAACCCAAACTTAGGACCTAGGGGCTCAGGCTGTGTGAAGTATCCAGGGTGTTTTTGTTTTTGTTTTGTTTTCCCAACCAGGGCTGGCTGGGGTCCCAGTGGGGTTGTGGGGGGACAAATGTGGGTGGAGCCATGGAGGCCAGCAGCCCGGATTCGGGAGGCAATCCAGAGCTCCCAATTAAAACTGGAAGATGTGTGAGTAAGAGACAGATACACAGACGCCCCGGCAGCAGGCTAATTTTAAAATGTATTTATAGCTGAATTTCTCCGACTCCGGATGGCTGTTTCTCGAATCAACCCTTGGAGTGCTTGGCGTCGACGCCTGGGGTTGAGGGATGGGGTCGAGCACACCTCTGGATGCTGTTGCTAAAGATAGGCAGCTCCCAGCCACAGACTCGGGGAGCCCACTTCCTGTCACCCACTGCCATCCCACACATTCACAGACTCCAAGGCAAAGTGGAGTGCTTCCTGTTTGCTAAGCTTCCAGAATCCTGCCTGAACGAGACCCTGGCTCACACACATTTCTAGGCAAGAGGCTGGTGTGCTGTCTCCATGCTTCCCACTCACAGGAGAATTGAGGGGGTGCCTGTCGGAGGCCTGAGGAGGTGGGGACACCAGAATTAACCAGGTGAACACAGAGGGGTTTGCGTGAACCAGATTTGGACTGAAAGTGGGGCAGAGAAGGTTCGAGAGACACAAGTGATCTTCCTAGGGCCTTCTGTGGAACCCCGAGCCTTAAGCTTTAATGGTTTCGCTTTCCTGTCCACACTCACTGTGTGTAGGTCTAGTGTGGTCAGCCTAGCTGTCTCCACTAGAAGCAAGGCCATTTTGTTGCCTTTGTTTATTTTATACTTTGTTGGTTTTTTTTTTTTTTTTTAGTTTTGTTTTTTGGTTGGTTTAGTCTTTGTCTTGTTTTAAGACAGTCTCACTGTATAGCCCAGGCTAGCCCGAAACCAGTCATCTTCCTCCTGGGTGCTGGGGTGACAGGTATGGATCACTCACTGCCCCGACACATTCCCTGCTGTTGACAGGACAACTCCATCTAGTGGGGGTCACGTGTGGTCCCCTTCCCCGCGGGACAGCTGGAGTGGGACATTCAAGTCAGCTGCACACAGGAAACGGATGTCTGTTGAGCGGAAACTCGCGTTTTATACACTTGGCTGTTAGTTTTCTTTTCAAGCCTGTCATCTTTGGTTTTGAGCCTTCTCAAATCAGCCATCGTAGCCGTCAGGAGGTTGAGGCAGGAGGATTCCCAAGATTTAGAGCTACACGGTGAAATTGTGGCCAGGTTGAGCCAAGTGTTCAGTGCCTCCCCATTCTCTTCAGTACCAAGGGATTTGGATGTGCCGACCTGTTCAGCTGTTCCCTGCTGCAGGCTGTGTTGGGTCTCCGTGTTAAGGAGCATGCCCTGGCACTCCTGACATGTCACAGTGTATCTCCTGGTATTGGGGAAGAAAGCTCCATTCTGTTCCTACCCTCAGGTAAGAGTAGGAACCATGTGTACCTGTCCCTCACCCCAGGGCACCGTGCATGTCATGAAGAAAAACAGTCAGCGAGGTTCTAGAACACCCAGAGGACACACATTTTATGGTGCCCTGATCTGACCATGCCGCCGACCACAGAACACCTCCCAAGAGTTAAAGACTAGAAAGATGTAGTATAGTATGATGGCTCACACAGCTGCCAGTCAAACCCCAAAGAAACCGCCACAAGTATTTGGAAACAAAGAGACATACTTCTTGTTTGTGAGAGAGACTATCTGATGTTGGGGATTTGCCTTCAAAATACATTAGCAAGTAGTCTGAGTGTGTGTTGGAGGGCAGGGGCGGACATGGGCAAGGCTGGCCCAGAGTCACTCGGTGCTGCAATCAGTGATAAATACCTGGGAAACCACCCCCGTCTCTTTCTTCCCCTCTCTCAAGTTTGTTTTTCCGGAGAAATATTTATTGGTTACCCATGGGTCAAAGGAGAAACAGTAATGGAAATTGGGAACTGTCTTAGTTAGGGTTTCGATTGCTGTGAAGAGACACCATGACCATGGCAACTCTTATAAAAGAAAACATTTAATTAAGGCTGGCTTACAGGTTCAGACGTTTAGTCCATTGTCATCATGGTGGGAAGCATGCTGGTGAGCAGGCAGACACGGTGTTGAAAATGAGCCAAGAGTTCTACATCTGGATCCACAGGCAGCAGGAAGAGAGTGGGTCCAGGATGCAGGATGTGGGTCCAGGATGCATGATGTAGGTCCAGGGAAGCAGGTTAATGGTCCAGGTATGCAGGATGTGGGTCCATGATGCAAGATGTGGTTCTAGAATTCATGATGGGGAACCAGGATGGAAGATTTGGTCCAGGATGCAGGATAGGGTCCAGATGCAGGTAATGGTGCCAGAGATGCAGGATGTGGGTCCAGGATGAAAAAGGTGGGTCTGCAAAAACTGGGCCTGGCCTGAGCTTCTAACATCTCAAAGCCCACCAGTGACACACTTCCTCCAGCAAGGCCATGCCCCCTAATAGTGCCACTCCTGGGGACCAAGCATTTGAACATGAGTCTGTGGGGACCATTCCTGTTAAAACCACCACAGGGAATATTTTCACAATAATAAATAATAACATAACAGTGTTTCTGAGGTGCAGTCAAAACTGTACTTGAAGGACAGTTTATAGCCTTAAAGAAAATGGCTCAGCTTCAACAGGTTAAGAAAGAACAGGGGCCCAGAGGTGGCGCACACCTTTAATCCCAGCACTCAAGAGGCAGAGGCAGGCGGATCTCTTGAGTTCAAGCCCATCCTGGTGTATAGAGCAAGTTCCAGGACAACCAGGACTATACAAAGAAACCCTGTCTCAAAAAAAAAAAAAAAAGAAAAAAGAAAAGAAAAAAAAAGAAAAAGAAAACAGAATTAAACTGGTGGAAAACTGGAAAAAAACAAGAATCTGGTGCTGCAGACAAGAATTAACCAGACACTCATATTTCATCCCAATAACCACTGTAAGGTTTTCCTGCCTCTCCCTCCTACTCTCCATTTCTCTCCTTTCTAGACGACATCCAGGGTGAGTCGCCAGCTCCGTGTGGGACAGAGGAACCCGCCCGCACCTGCCCCAACGGGACCAAATGTCAGCCGTACTGGGAAGGGCCGAACAACGGCATCACTCAGTTCGACAACATCCTGTTCGCTGTGCTCACTGTTTTCCAGTGTATCACCATGGAAGGCTGGACTGATCTCCTCTACAATGTGAGTGCTGCTGGAGCACATGGGGTGACATGGGAGGGGAGTCCTGAGCTGGGTCGCCTTTGGAAAGTCCAGGGCAGAAGCTCACCGGCCTCTGGGCAAGCTCTGAGCTGTAGAAGTCCAGATAGTCCTTAGACAGAACTTCCTAATGGTGCCTTGGCCGGGTGCTAAATATGCTTTTGATGTGCAATCCTGAACTCAGCATGTGTAAAGGAGTAGGACTTTCCAGCCTGGGCAATGCCATCCAGCCCTGGGCATGCCCTTCCCATGACATATGGAGTGTATGGGAGCCAGGGGTGACTGTGAGGATATTGGTGTCCATGCTAAATTACCTGGTATCCCAAGTTCTGTGTCTAAGCTCAAATCCATGCATTTCCGTGAGATCCTGCCATGACTGGCTCGTCCCTTTACAGTACAGGACAGACACCAGGTTCTAGAAGCCAGAGTATATTGGATTTAGTCACTGTGAAACACTTGGAAAGTGGCCACTCCACAGCCGGATCTGAAAAGGCACCTGTCCTGCCCTGCCTTCCTTCTGCTCAGTCACTGTCCCTCACCGTGAGCCCTCCTGTGCCATGGCACATCTCCCCACCGCTCACTCACACCCGTGCGGTCGTCACCCCTCAGCAGCCGTCGGCCATCGGTTGCAGATCCCCTCTGACACCACAATCTGGGGCTGCTCACAGTCCCTGTGTGAAATGGGGCGGGAGCTGGACACCTCCCCGTTCTCTAAATCATGGTGTGCCAGCCTTTGCTACATTGGTGCTTCAGGTGTGGTGTAAGCTGTGTAGCTCAGGAGCGTGGGCGAGGTGTGCCGAGTATGCTCAGGGCAGACGTATGTTGATTCCTGACCGCAGACATGGAGGACCGACTGCAGGAGAAGAGCCAGATCTATCTCCTGGGCTGGGGAGATGGTTCGGTAGAGAAAGAACTTGTCTCACAAGTGTGAATTCTCACATGGATGCTGAATGTGTGTGGTGGCCTGCCGGGAGGCAGAGATGCGAACCCTGGGCAAGCTGGCCAGCCAGACTAACCAGGTTCAAGTGAGAGACCCTGTTCAATATTAGAATGTATTCAGTGTCAAGCTACAGCCTCTGCAATCACACAGGCACGAGACATGTGCATATACACATTGCACACACACTACACACACATCTTTAAAAAACCTGAATTGTCCCTCTTAGCACCATGGGGTCATTCTGCACTTTTTCCCATCACTCCTCTCTCATAACAATTTCTAGAATGTTTTTTGTGGCAAGACAGATTTCGTATTCTTTTTTTTTTTTTTTTTTTTTTGGTTTTTCGAGACAAGGTTTCTCTGTAGCTTTGGAGCCTGTCCTGGACTAGCTCTGTAGACCAGGCTGGCCTTGAACTCACAGAGATACACCTGCCTCTGCCTCCCAAGTGCTGGGATTATAGGCGTGTGCCACCACCGCCTGGCCAGATTTCGTATTCTTTGTGTAGCGGCATAGTATTGTGTTTTGCTGCTGCCCCGCGGTTTACATGCTCAGTCCCTCGCAGAGAAATGTCAGGGTGCCCCACCCACGACCAGATGGTGCCCTGAGCACTATTGGGTTTATCGAGCTTTTGTAGATGCAGACTGAGTCTGAAGGGTCTACGTCCCGGAAGTGGGATTACAGGGTCAAAGCTAAATTCATTTTTAGAGTTGCTTTTTTAAAAAAACAGGACGAGGATGGAAGGATGGCTCAGATGAGAAATTACTTGCCACACAAGTATGAGGACTTGAGGTTGACCCACAGAATCCATGCATAAGGCTGTAGAGCAACACCCAAAGTTGTCCTGTGACCCACACATGCATACACACACAAACACATGTACACATGCATGCAATACTCAAATGCATACATACACATATGTTGCTGTTGGGTCTTATCTGCCTCAGACATATACTTAATACACATAGGCAAACACAAGTACACGCATGCACACATGCGTATGTATACATTCAGGCACATACATCTAATACATGCACACATGCATACATATGCACACACTCGAATACACACAGGCACACACGCAACAAATACATGCATACATACATACATATACAGTCATGCATGCACATATACATACAGCAAGATAGAGATAACCAAGTATATTGCAATTCTCATAAACTATCTTTAAAACAGATTTGTGAGTTGGATGTGCTGGCACAGAGCTGTCACCTGGGCACTGGGGAGGCTGAGACAGGAGGTAGAGAGTTTGAGACCAGGCTGGGATACTTAGAGAGCGACACTGTCTCAATACAAGACCAAAGAAGGCTGGAGAGAAGGCCCAGAAGTTAAAAGTGCACAGTGTTCTTGCAGAGGACCTGGGTTCTTTCCCCAGGACCCACACTGGGTGGCTCACAACTCCCTATAACTCCAGCTCTAGGGGATCTGATGCCCTCTTATGACCTCTGAGGGAACACGTAAGATGACAGACAGACAGACAGATATAGAGAGATAGAGAAATAGGGTTTTTTCCTAAAACCGTTATGGAGCGTCAATAGCCACCTGCAGCAGAAGGTCATGAGGCAGCGGGTCACATGAGTCTCACGGTTTTGTGGCAGTGCCACATTTCAAAGACTTGGTGCAGCACTCTGAGACTCAGTGGCCCCACAGTGGCCCCTGCAGTTGATGTGGACAGAAGGGGACAGGTTATAAGTAACCGAAATCCTCAGCCTCCATGTTTGGCTCAGCCTAACACCACCTTGCTGCCCAAAATTAGAGATTCAGAAACGGCCTTGTGCGTGGGCCTGGAGAGATGGCTCGGTGGTTAAGAGCACATATACTGTTCTTCCTGAGGACCTGAGTTCAATTCCCAGTACCCACATCAGGTAGCCTACAACTGCCTGTGACCCCAGCTCCGGAGGGATCTCACACCTCTGACCTCTGTGGACTCTTGCATTCATGTGCACATATCACACACACACACACACACACACACACACACACACACACACACACACACTGAAATAATAAAAATCTTTAAAAAAAAAAAAAAAAAAAAAAAGAAACTAACAGGCAGGGAAGCCGGCAGGTGCACTGAGGGGTAGCCAGAAGAAAGCTGGCTCCGCAGTGCTGAGTTTCTGCTCACAACGGAAACCAGATACTTTGTGTCTCTTCTTCCATTCTCAAGGTTCTTAGAAAATGGCCTGGATGATCTACTGTTAAAGTGACCACATCACTAACACTCAGAGTCAGCATGAGCCCTACAGGCTTAGGGCTCTCTGCCTCATGACATGACCCCAATCTCAGATAAAAATCCCAAGTTCAGTCGACATGGTGTAACTTTTCCTGAGGAGATGTGAGCGAAGTCTATGTATCTTAGATCTGGCTCTGACAGCAGACCCAAGATTCTCCCCAGGTCCAACTCAGTGAACCAATGAGTTCACTGAGGCTACTTACAGGAGCATTGGTCAGGGGGGATACTGTAACATGATTTCAACACAGCTCCACCACCAACATTCCCACCTGTGCATGGTGACAGCTCCAGAAGCTGCATCCACGTCACAACTTGCTCAATTTGTAGGTGGCCCCACTCAGGAGTCTTCCAAGGCAATTGTTACCACTTTTGTAACCTTGGCAAAGAGCTTTGAAAATTTCCTAACTGCACTTCCCAAACTTTCTAGGTGCCACTAGCTTCCTGGGTCTTCTGAGTGCCCACCTTGCCCCAAGGATGAAATGTTTCAATTTGGGGGAAATAGTTGTGCCACAGTCACCTCACACTTCGGAGCATCCAGCTCTCAAGTCAAGGGCCCCCATAGCTTCCTCTTTGGTTTCTAGAATTTGCTAGAAAAGCTCAGAAAACTTAAGAAAGGACCTTACTGGCTTTTTATGAAAAAGTACAACTCAGAAAGAGCCACATGGACAAACCTGTTTGTAGTGAATGCATTGCACCCCACAGATTCATTTTTGCATCGAGTCGAACAGTTTCACGTAGTGGAAGAAGAAAAGCAATCCCATCTATTTAATGAGGATTTAAAACTGCAACGAGGCAAGAATAGCACAGGAAAAATGTGTAGCTGAATTTCAACACATAAATGGAAGAATTTAAAATAAAATCTCATACGAAATACGTAAGAAAAAACTCAAGGTAGAATATCCAGGACAGTCCGGTGTGGTGGCGCATGCCTGGAATCTAGCACTGGGGAGGTTGAGGTGAAAGGGCTGTAAGTTCAAGACCAGCCTCGGCTGCACTGTAAGACTGTCTCAAAAATAAGAGACAAAACAAAGAAACAAATCAAAACAATATCCATAGGAAAGGGAGAGGCTTTTTCAGTGATGTAGCTACTGGCAAGGGGCCCATGTCCTCGGCCATGCTTCTGTAACCCTCGTGAGACTCGCCGGATCATAAAGGGGATCATAAAAGCAGAGAGGGACTAGTTAGGCATTTGGGAAGGAGGAGGTCAGGAGGAGTGGACCAATAAGAGAGCAATGGGGGCAAATGTGATCAAAACATATAATATACATGTATGAAAATGTCAGAATGGAATCTAGTTTTATGTAGAGTTAATATCTGCTAATAAAGAGAATTTCATAAGCAATATCCAATATAATTTGAAAGAAATGAGAGGTCATAACTTGCTCTGTCAATCTTTAAAATACGTCAGGGAAGGGGACTGGGGCGAAAATGATCAAAATACATAATATACTTGTATGAAATTATTGAAGAATACTAGTTAAATCTTAGAAACTGATTTTAAGGCTGTTCTAATGGTTCTTAGAGACACTGACACAGGAACGGGCTAACAGGCTTGAGAGATGCTGCAAACAGTGTGTGAGGTGACATCACACCACAAAACAGAAGGCGGAGCAGTCCTGTTTGGTTGCTTGTAAAAAGGCCTTAGCTGCCCGTCTTTTTAACTGAATCCCGTTCCTACTTGACACCAACTCAAAAAACAACACGCTAAGTTGCCTAAAGCACAAGTATGGAAAACAAAGCTTTAAAAGCATATAAGAAAATATTACTTTGCATTAGGATTTCTTAAGTGATTTTTT